TGGCATGGTGTGTGGTAGTCAACGGTAGATCGAAAGAAGGTGGTAATGACCAACAGTCGATGAGGGAGACCGAAATTAGTTGGCAATAATGGTAGGCAAAAAGACAATAGATTGGATGACATGGTGTGTGGTAGCCATTGGTGGGTTGAAACGATGTGATGGTAACCAACAGTCAGTGAGGATGACCATAATTAATTGGCAATGGTAGTAGGCAAAAGGCAATGGATTAGATGGCATGGTACGCAGTAGCCATCGATGGGTTGAAAGGATATGGTGGTGACCAATAGTTAGTGGTACAGGTAGAGATGAGCGCGGATCGGTTATAGTCACGAAATCTTCAATCCATCATCTGTTCGTCAGATTAACGGATTTGAGAAAACCAATCTGCATCAGTCCGCCAATCCGGCAGATATGAATTGAGCGGATTGGCAGATTAGCGGGTAAATGCGAATCGGTTTAGCAGTTTAAAATTTTATAAATTTTCAATATAATTCAACTTGTGTACTTCATAAAATATATATATATATATATACACATATATATATATATTACAGTCAATCACTTAAAAAAATATTACAATCACTCTCCTTTGGACCGGACTACCTTCAAAATATCCGCACGACCGGATTAACTTATAGTCACTACATGCTTTATCCATATATTACAATCACAGCATGTCTCATCCACATAAAGTGTTACAATTTGTGGATCTTAAAGTATAAAAACAATTTAAACCACCAAAATCATGAACAGAGCAGTAGTAGAGATTGTATGCTTTCATATTGTTACATCTATATCTGTTTTTGAAAATAAAAACCAAGCAGTATATATCATCTTTTTTATTTATTATTTTTAGAGTTAGATTTTAAAAAGAAAAAGATAAAGATAAATAATACATTTATTTTTTTTTAATTTAAAAATATATTTAAGCTGAAAACTCTTTTTCAACAGAATGTATTCAACAGAATATTTAAACTCTTATTCGATTGAAAGCATAAATAGAATGTCTAAATAAATTAAAAACACAAAGTCTTACAAATTATTAAGGGTGCTCGCGGTTTGACGGTTCGGTTGCGGCCAAAGGAATCTCAAATCCGCTATCCGTCCAAAACTAAGCAGATTGAAAAAATTGAATCCGCAACCGTTCGCTCGTAATCACACATTCGTCCAAAATGCGACGGTTCAAGTTGGTTCGGTCGGTTTGGGCGATCGATATATCCACTACTCACTCCTAGTACAGAGGAATGAGGGAATGAAAACTTGCTTTGAAAACAAACAAAACACTGTATTTGATGAATTACACTATGTTCCTTAAGTTTTAGCATATTTTCATTTTGACCCTCAAAAGTTTTTTTTTTCACTTTAGTCCTTTAAGTAAATAATATTTTCAATTTGCTCTAACAATAAATCTACTAGTAGCTGCTATGCTACATCAATAACATGTGACATTTTATTGCTTTATTATTATTATTATTATTTATAATATTGACCCTTTAAGTATATTAAATTTTTCTCACCATTTTTTTCCTTAATTACACCGAAAGGTGAAAAAAAAAAGGCTACCAATTGGGTGGTTTACCAACAGTATTAAAAATTATAATCAGTTGTATTAAATTTTAAATTTCTAAATTTGTGTACTAATAATAATATGGCAGTCATAGCATATTATGTACATGTGAGGGACCCAATTTGGTGGTAAAGCTAGCAGTTAAAATGATATTTTGGAAGAGAAAGTATTTGAGAATTAAGGCAGCTTCTATTTGTGCACATAATTTTGTTCTCAATTCACACACTATATAGATTTAATTCATATTAACTACCAAAAAATTTACATGGTTGGAAAATAGATCTCTAAAAATCTTTTGGTTTGAAAGTTGATATATCTAGATTATAAGTTTTTTTGTTCAAAAGTTTATTTTTGAACTATATAATTTTGTTCATTAGTTAATATTCAAATAAAAAAATCATATGAACTGAGAAAAGATAGCGTGTATTAATAGATTTGCTGTTAATTATTTATGTGATTTTTGTATAAAAAATTCCACAGAGTTTGAGCTTCAAAAAATTTGTATGTGAACAAAGCTTCACTTCTCCTTTATCTATTCCGTTGTACATGCATGTGCCTAAATTGTACCCTTTAATTAGCAAAGTTTATTGGAGGAAATGAAGGGATTGACTTGCTAAAAGCTAGCTTTTGCTTGCCAAAATGCCAACTAATTAATTAAAATTTAAATGTAGCTTATATATTAAAAAGTAAGCCATCTTTTTAGAACATTAATTATCAAGTCATCATTTTAACATCCCATCCTGTGTATTTTATTGGTATTTTTTATTTTATTTTTATTTTGTTTTATTTTAGAGTTCTATAAATTTGAATGCTAAACTAATTTTTTTTTTTTAATCAGCAAAGAAAAATTTCATTAACAATATGAAATTAAAAGTACAGGAAGATGACATGTATCGAGAGAGATTCGAAAAGTATAAAATACCCCTACTACTGCTACTCACACTCATACAACCAACCCCTTAGCCTCACGTTTTTTTTTTTTTTAAACAAAAAAAAGTTAAGAAGGACTTAACTAAAAAATAAAATACATGAATCCCCACAAAATTAACCTACAAAACCCAAAGCCACAGCCAAAAGCCCATAAACTAATTTTATTGTAGTGATGTGGATGATAGTATTAAAATAGTTTTGAAATATTGATAATTGATTATTATTTTTTATCAAAATTCTGGCACTAGTTATTCTTTCACAATATAGTCTAAAATTGGGAGGTTATAAAAATATTGTGTTTACACGAGGGGTGGTGGTCTAGTGGACAATGCATTCTGTTCTAGTCATGATCAAATCCTTGGGGCGCGCTCTATATGTGGAGATTCTGTACTGTACTCCAATCGATACTAAGGTTCATTTGGATGTCTCGGTGATGGGTTCTTGCCTATAAGTTAGGTTAAATCTAACCGGCAAACGGTCGTCCCGGGACAAGGGCCTGCAGATGGTATGATGTCTCCATGGAGCATCTTTTTTTTTTTTTGGTTCAAAAAAATAAAACATCTTCTTTTTTTTTGGTTCAAAAAAATAAAAATAAAAATAAAAATGTTGTGTTTGGCATTTAAAAAATAATAATAAGAAGAAGCTTGAATGGGTTCAATTATGAACTGAAAAAAAAAATTGAATTAGTTAATTGAAAATGTAATGATTTCATTTGTGCAACCAAACAGACCCTATAGTTTCCAGTATAGACTAATATTTGAACTAATTTTATTGTAGTGATGTGGATGATAGTATTAAAATAGTTTTGAAATATTGATAATTGATTATTATTTTTTATCAAAATTCTGGCACTAGTTATTCTTTCACAATATAGTCTAAAATTGGGAGGTTATAAAAATATTGTGTTTACACGAGGGGTGGTGGTCTAGTGGACAATGCATTCTGTTCTAGTCATGATCAAATCTTGGGGGCGCACTCTCTATGTGGAGATTCTGTACTGTACTCCAATCGATACTAAGGTTCATTTGGATGTCTCGGTGATGGGTTCTTTCCTATAAGTTAGGTTAAATCTAACCGGCAAACGGTCGTCCCAGGACAAGGGCCTGCAGATGGTATGATGTCTCCATGGAGCATCTTTTTTTTTTTGGTTCAAAAAAAATAAAAATAAAAATAAAAATGTTGTGTTTGGCATTTAAAAAATAATAATAAGAAGAAGCTTGAATGGGTTCAATTATGAACTGAAAAAAAAAATTGAGTTAGTTAATTAAAAATGAAATGATTTCATTTGTGCAACCAAACAGACCCTATAGGTTCCAGTATAGACTAATATTTGTTTGTTAATCTTATGGATGGACTAATTATAAACTAATTGTTAAATTTAATCAATCTTAAATTTAATCCTCAACTATGCCATAAATTGCATTTTCAAAAACTAATCTGTTTTATCTATATATATGTTTTTATGTCGTCCAAAAAATTGTTCCTATAATCTTGAAAAAGTTAATTCAAATCTTAAGAAATGCCACATGCATGCTTATAATTATGAATAAAGTTACCTAGAAAATAAATAATCCAAAAACTTTTTTGAAAACACTGTAAAACGTTATTCTCTATTTAATTCCTTCTTTCAATGAAAACCCTAACAAATTTAAGGCAACAATAGTAATCTAGTACACTTTAAATATCTTTAATATAGTATACACCTGTGCTAATCCTTGAGGATTATAATGAAAGCAGTAATTAAGTATAAGATTGTGAAATTTTTAATGAAATTTCAACCTATATTTTTAATGAAATTTTTCTTTGCCGATCAAAAAAAAAAAAAGTATAAGATTGTGAACCACCAGAGTGGTTTTTTTTATTGATATTCAAATATAGAAAGGATAAAATACACTTTTGGTTATCAAAACATGCATTCTGTGTTATTTTAAATTTTTAAATTTCAATTCTATTAATTTTTTTCTCAACTTATTCAATTTGTGTTTTAATAGTCCTTAACACCGTTGACCGTTAGTCCAAATTTTATTCAAATTTTGACAAAATTTAGACGGATGGGACTGTTTAAACTCAAACTGAATATATAAGTGGAGGGCCAAATTGAAAAACATTAGAGATTAAAATAAAACGTAAGTGCTGACCATATATTTAACCCAATATATAATTAAAGTTAAATTATATTTTTCACCCTCCAACTTTCATCCAAATTTTATTTTGATCCATCACCTTTTAATTCTAACAATTATTTCCTCAAACTTCAAACTGTGTTTCAATGAGATTCTCCTGTCATTTCATTATTTAAAATTTAAATAGAAATGTCATTTTTAGTATGATTTTTTCCAATGTAATTTTTTAACGATGAGTCGATGACTAAAGGATCGAATTGAAACACTAATTAAAGTTTGAATATTTAATTGTTGCAATAAAAATATGAGAGATTAAAGTAAAATTCAGATGAAAATTTGGCATAAAAATTTGTAATTTACCCAATAAATTAATAACCTCTTCAAGGGTAATCACACAATCCATATATACAGAGAAGACCCCCATCACACATGTTATCGCAACGCCCGCAATTCTTCTTATCGTACGCTAGCCTGACGCACTTCCCTCCGCAACACGTTTCTGTGACCTCGCATATCTTCTTGCACTTGCCACAATTTTGATGATCAGTTTTTGTGTCCACACATTTGTTGTTGCAGCACGTAGAATTGTTCGCTAGGAAACAAGTTTCATGGTGACTGGTGCAATTGTTGGCTTGTCTCGGGTTCTTTTCTTGTTGAACAAGGAATCGACTTACGTTCTTCGATCGCATAGGCTTCTTGTTCTCCTCCGGAGTGTCCATGCTCTTTAAAGGCAGTTTCTCTGCTTTGTTTTCGGTGTTTTTGGTGATGAGAGTGAGTGATGATAAAGCCATGGTAATGGCTATTATTATGAGGAGTATTGTAATCACCTTCATGGCTATGAAGGTGGAGAGAGAGAGAGAGAGAGAGAGAGAGAGATTGGAGAGGATGGTATGTAATGAAAGGCTTGTTATGGTTTATAGGTATGGTGGGAAGGAGTTGACGCGGGAAAAGTGGTTAAAGTTGCTGCATGGAGTGTGGTGAAATTCTATTGTTTGGTTTTATAGAAAATAGAAATGATTTGTGCACCCACAATGGGATTGTGGGACAGCCCTCCCACTTGAGGGAACCTTCTACCCCAATTACTGCAAATCTTGAAGAAGAAGTTGATTGTGATTAGATTTCTAATTTAGGGATTATTTCACATGCACTATACAAGTGTATTTATTTTATTTGGGTCATATTATTTTTCTTTTTTTTTTTGTAAATCTTTTAGTAAAAAATTAAAAAGTATATTTATTTAGATCATCCCAAATACCTTTTAGTTAACAAAATTCAGCTTGTTTGGTTTTGGTTTTTAGAAAATACTTTTCAGAAAATTTTATTTTTCAAATTTTTTTGTTTTCAATGAATTTTTTTAATATTTTAAGCAATTTTTCTAATTTTTAGACACAGCTAACATAAATACACTTAAAAAGTATAATATTTGTAAAAAAAATCTTTAAAAAATCACTAAATACCAAAAATAGAAAAAAAAAATATGAAATTTTTCAAAGTTTTATGTATTTATTAATTTTTAAAAATATTTCTTCACAAATATTTTACTATCTATATAATAAGGGAGGAAGGATTTTGAAAATGTGTAAAATGTATGTGAGATACATTTAGATTTAAAGGCTGAGATCAATTTTGATAAAGATCAATGGTTCGGATGATGATTTATTCCCGCCCAAACCCTATGTGCTCTCTCCCTTCCCCACCTACCGACGTCTCCTCCCCCATTCCCTCTTTATCTCTCTCTGCCTCCCCCCTCTCCCCACTTTTCTCTCAGTGCTCGCTGCGCCCAAGGTAGGGTTTCAGATTGAGAACTCTCTCCCCCTCTCCCCCCTTCTCTCTCAGTGTTCGCTGCTCGCAAGATAGGGTTCCGATTGAGAACTGGGTCACCGAGTTGGCTCCTCTGTTCCACGACCAACTTCACCACCACCACAGATTCTTTCTCTGTTCGACGCCGTCGTCTTCTCTTTCTCTCTCTGCTTCGAACCCCCTGGTGCCTCTCTCGGTGAGCCAATTGTTGTTTGTTGGTGGAAATTAATGGTTTAAATTAATGTTTTTGTTTATCATCATCAAAGCATCATCTGAACCTCTATTGAAAACAGTAGGTGATGCTTTGAACGATCAAGTTAATACAGTTATTTTTTTAAAAAATTTAATACAGTAGGTGTTTTTGTTTATCATCATCAAAGCATCATCTCAACCTCCATTGAAAACAATAGATTATAAGGTTTTTTTGGTTGTGTTATTATATACATAAGTTTGAAAATGGGTATGTCTTGGTCTTATCTGCTCTTATCTGCTCTAAGGCGGCAATTGAATATGGGTATACTCTTAATAAGGATTGCAGATGCTCTAAGACAAAAATGGGTATACTCTCAATGGTATGTACAATTCCATGCCTTTTGCTGTCTTCTATTGCTAAAATTTTGTGTTACCTAATTATCTAATCTAAAGTCAGCAATAACTTGATATATTCGTAGTTCACTGTTTGGTTTTGATTGAGACAGTTAAATCAAATGGAGATGATATAGATATGCTTGGACATATAAAACAAGAACTTGGATGCAAAGAAAAGCCCTAAATATTAAGGAATGAGGAACTCAGTTTATAAATATGCTTGGACATATAATCATCCACTGGGAAACACTTTTCTTGGTGTTAAAAGAAATGGTCATGTGGAGCCAAGATGGGCCCAATATCATGATTAACTGTTGAATGTTGATTCAGAATGTGTTTGATACTGTACGATAATTATCTATATATCTATATATCATGATTAACTTTTCCAAATGATGAACCCTGTGAAAGGATTTTAACACAAATATATCTATATATACACAAAATATACTTCTTTTTTCTTTTTTTTTTTTTGTATTCATTTTTTCTTCTTCTTTTGATTCAATCAAATATATACATATATGTGCAATATATGTGTATCTCTGTGTGAATGTATGTTTTTATTTATTGAAATGTATTTTTTTTTTGTAATTTCAATTATTTGGGATCTTTGGCTCAAAGAACAACAAGTATGTTTAATTGTCCAATATCAATTTTTTTTTTATATTTTTATATTTATAATCTGTATCGTACTCTACTGGATGCCAATACTTCTCTGTAGTTGCGGATAAATGTATCCAATGTTAATTTTGTGAAGTATCAGATATTTTTCGGAAAGTCTTGGTCACTATTAAATTAAAATTATAATAAATTTTGCATACTATTAGAGTATAATCATTAAAATAAATTCAAGAATATTTTTCGGAAAGTCTTGGTATTCTATGTCTTTTTTTTTTTTTCTTTCTTTTTGATTTTGTCGTATCGCCTTATCTATATCTCATATTTGTATCCATGCTTCATAGTAAGCAAGGAAGGCTCTGACGCTACTTTAATTTTCGTTTGCAATAATGTTATAGTGACCAACTTTCATAGTGACCAACTTTCGTAGTTATTAGGTCTGTGTTGTTTTAAGCAAATTGGAAAGTATTGGGCCTGTGTTGTTTGTTACCAATGTAATTATTATTATCTTAATAAAAGGTCAAATTTCATGGTAATGGTTTGCGTTTATTGCTTATCAATTGAATGAGAGATGATGTCGCTATTTGGGGAATTATAGCAAGAATATTGGTTGACCAATGAGAAAGTCCCCACATGACGTGTTAACATGTCCAAGGAATTGCAGGGGTAATCTCCTCATTGAATCTATAGGATTTCTGAATTTAGTTGGAGATTGGCAACAACCGTGCCGATATTTATTTCTATAGATACTGAGTTTTGAAAGTCAAAATAAATTTAGAGAAAAAATAAAAGAGAAATGGAGATGGACTTTCAAGCGTTATCTAGGATTTGGTTTCACATCAAAGATTTATTTGACATAATTTGAACAGACTCCAAAAACTGGTTTAGAAACCTTGATAGTCATTCAAAATGGTGAGGGGTAATCTTCTCATTGAATCTATATGATTTCTGAATTTAGTTGGAGATTGGCAACAACCGTGCCAATATTTATTTCTATAGATACTGAGTTTTGAAAGTCAATAAATTTAGAGAAAAAATAAAAGAGAAATGGAGATGGACTGTCAAGCGTTATCTAGGATTTGGTTTCACATCAAAGATTTATTTGACATAATTTGAACAGACTCCAAAAACTGGTTTATAAACCTTGATAGTCATTCAAAATGGTGGTTTCACTTGATGTAATAATGTAAAATGTGCCATTCTGGGTATCTCTGTGTGAAGAAGTATAGTGGTGGTTTCTGCTGATGGAAGGATGTTGGCAGCTACTCATGGCTCAACATTGCAGTGGTAAAGTGCTGAAACTGGGCAGGTTTTGGACACAGCTGACAGGGTTCATGATCCACTGATTTTCTTTTTCTTTGTTTCTTTATCCTTTTCCCTATTGGAGGAAATGAAGGGATTGACTTGCTAAAAGCTAGCTTTTGCTTGCCAAAATGCCAACTAATTAATTAAAATTTAAATGTAGCTTATATATTAAAAAGTAAGCCATCTTTTTAGAACATTAATTATTTTAACATCCCATCCTGTGTATTTTATTGGTATTTTTTATTTTATTTTTATTTTGTTTTATTTTAGAGTTCTATAAATTTGAATGCTAAACTAATTTTTTTTTTTTAATCAGCAAAGAAAAATTTCATTAACAATATGAAATTAAAAGTACAGGAAGATGACATGTATCGAGAGAGATTCGAAAAGTATAAAATACCCCTACTACTGCTACTCACACTCATACAACCAACCCCTTAGCCTCACGTTTTTTTTTTTTTTAAACAAAAAAAAGTTAAGAAGGACTTAACTAAAAAATAAAATACATGAATCCCCACAAAATTAACCTACAAAACCCAAAGCCACAGCCAAAAGCCCATAAACTAATTTTATTGTAGTGATGTGGATGATAGTATTAAAATAGTTTTGAAATATTGATAATTGATTATTATTTTTTATCAAAATTCTGGCACTAGTTATTCTTTCACAATATAGTCTAAAATTGGGAGGTTATAAAAATATTGTGTTTACACGAGGGGTGGTGGTCTAGTGGACAATGCATTCTGTTCTAGTCATGATCAAATCCTTGGGGCGCGCTCTATATGTGGAGATTCTGTACTGTACTCCAATCGATACTAAGGTTCATTTGGATGTCTCGGTGATGGGTTCTTGCCTATAAGTTAGGTTAAATCTAACCGGCAAACGGTCGTCCCGGGACAAGGGCCTGCAGATGGTATGATGTCTCCATGGAGCATCTTGTGGTGGGTGGGTGACGGTGGCGGGTGGTAGGTGGTAGCGAGTGGGTGGTAGTGGTAGTAATGGTGGGTGGTGGGTGGTGGCTACTGTTGGGTGGTAAAAAAAAAAAAAATTGATAACTCAAAATGGAAAAATATTTTTTTTGTTTTCATTTTTTGACCAAATTTATAAACTGAGACCACTGATTTATAAATCAAAAATTTTACCAAACAAGTTTTTATTTGAGTTTTTTAAATTTTTGTAAATATAAACAGAAAACAAAAAACGTAAGTGTTACCAAACGGCACCTAATTAAAGTTTGAATATTTAATTGTTGCAATAAAAATATGAGAGATTAAAGTAAAATTCGGATGAAAATTTGGCATAAAAATTTGTAATTTACCCAATAAATTAACAACCTCTTCAAGGGTAATCACACAATCCATATATACAGAGAAGACCCCCATCACACATGTTATCGCAACGCCCGCAATTCTTCTTATCGTACGCTAGCCTGACGCACTTCCCTCCGCAACACGTTTCTGTGACCTCGCATATCTTCTTG